GATTGCCATCCATCATCCATCCATCCTTCCCTCGATCTATCCATCCATCATCCATCCTTCCCTCGATCTATCCATCCATCATCCATCCATCCTTCCCTCCCTCCATCCATCCTCCATCCATCCATCCTTCCCTCCATCTATCCATCCTCCATCCATCCATCCTTCCCTCCATCTATCCATCCATCCTCCATCCTTCCCTCCATCCATCCATCCTCCCTCCATCCATCCTTCCCTCCATCTATCCATCCATCATCCATCCATCCTTCCCTCGATCCATCCTCCCCTCCCTCCCTCCCCCCATCCATCCATCCCTCCTTCCCTCCATCTATCCATGCATCATCCATCCTTCCCTCCCTCCATCCATCATCCATCCTTCCCTCGATCTATCCATCCATCATCCATCCTCCCCTCCCTCCATCCATCCATCCTTCCCTCGATCTATCCATCCATCATCCATCCATCCATCCTCCATCCTTCCATCCATCCTTCCCTCCATCCACTGTTGAGTCTTTGCCATAAATGTAAGCTGAACTTGTAGTTTTAATATTTAAGTCTTTAATGTGATTGTGTCAGAAGTCTCAGTAAATCTTCCTGGAGTTTCTCTGCTCCGGTTTCTAGAACATCTGCTGAAGGTTTTGTTTCATCCTCAGACGTCGGCGCTCAGTATTTTGAAACTTCCAGTAAAACAGGAAAAAACGTAGGTAAGTCTCACTTTTCAATCAGTGAAGAATAAATTTACTCTGAATATGATTTTAACGACTTTGTGGTTTTGACTAAAACTGGTTCCGAGATTTTTGACTTTTTATTAAAATGTAAAAAGCTGAACAAAACTGCCTTACAGAGAATCATTGAATGGATATTTAAAAGGTGAAAAACATCAACAACAACCAGATAGATAGTTATCTGTATTTTCCAAAATATAATAAATAGTAAATTTCTCAGATTTGACAGAATTGTTAGTCAGTAAAATAACTTGTTTCTTTGCTCAGCTTTATTGTGCCATGTTCATCACCCGGACAGACAACCAGAGCAGCAGAAGAGTACAAACCCAAAATCACATGCTCCTGGCATAACAGTTGGTTTGCGATCAAAAATCAGACAAGATCCAGAAATTGTAGAGCTCTGAATCTTTCCTTTATGCAGTTCAAGCATTTCATTCCAGTTCACAGCATGACATGAATTCAAACAGGAGGGCGAGACCCCCTCTGATCTAATACACCTGGCTTTTAAAGCATCTGCTCCTACTAGGACTAATTAAGGGCGGGAGACAACAGTTACATTTCCAGATAGAAAAAAGTCACAATTGGACTAAACTATTTTCCTAGAAAAATATTTACATAATTACAACTAACACCAACTAAAACAATCTGGGTCCAAACAAAATCCAGAACTTCTCCCCTCCCTCTCAAACAGTGGATTTTCCCATTGAGGCTGATTGAAAACACCAGGTCCTTGTCAGCACTGCTCATGGGCGCGTTTCCATGGCAACACATGACCAGGTAACCTCAACGATAAGAGAGGATGATTAAAACAAAATACAATATAAAGCAAGTTACTTCCTCTAAACAAAAACAATACATTTACCAGATAAATTAGAAAATAGAAGTACAAATACAGCACCTGTTAGGGAGGGGGTAAGAGCCTCACAGCCCCTAGAGCAGTGGTTTCCAAACTTTTTCTGCGCCCCCCTATGGATTACAAATGGCTGTCTGGTTGAAACGTCACAGGGTGGGGGGGGCATCGACTTTGGGGGGAAAATGAATGTACGTAGC